CGCAAACGCTTTTTTACTAAGTAAAACATAGTAAAAAACGCCTCCGCGGCTTTGGAAATGCTTTTTTACTATGTTTTCTTAGTTAAAAAACGTCTCCGAAGCTGCGGAGGCGTTTTTTACTATGTTTTATTTAGTGAAAAAAGCATTTTCGAAGCCGCGAAGGCGTTTTTTACTATGTTTTACTTAGTAAAAAAAGCATTTCCGAAGCTGCGGAGGCGTTTTCTACTATGTTTTACTTAGTAAAAAAAGCATTTTCGAAGCCGCGAAGGCTTTTTTACTATGTTTTTCTTAATATAAATGCACCTGTTATTAACTTACTTAATAAAAGCTATCTTTGAAAATTTTTAGTGCAATTACTAATGATTTTCTTAATTAAAACTTTATTTTAATATATCATTGTAATAATTAAAAAAAATTTATATTTGATTTGATTTGATTTTGAGGAACCCTACCCTTCACTATATTTTAATATAATTTTGGCTGTTTATTAATTGCCTTTTTTGAGTTTCGTTCCTCATCTTTAATCAAGAGACCAATTGTTTTTTTTGTATATATTTTAATTGATTCTTATAAAACATAAACTATAAAAGATATTTATAAACTATTAAAAATTAGGCTAAACATTATTAAGTAATTTTAATTATTAAAAGACATTAAAAATAGTATTCTAGTTGAAAATACTTTTTAAGAAATGAAATATTAATATGTTTATTAATTAATGCACTTAATTAGTAATTCTTTAAATTATAAATAAAACAAAAAAGTAATTGAGATAAAATTTATCACAATTTTTAAATATTGTAAAAGATAAAATAATCTAATCTAATATTTTTTAATAAAATATATAGCAATTTTTAAAAAAAATAAAACAGAAATTTTATAAATTTTTACAATAATTTCAATAGTATAATATAAGTTAGATAAATTAAAAAGAAAAGTTGTTGTAGAAATTGATATTTTAAAGATTCAGATTTGATATTTGTTATAAATTTGGTAAAGTTGACAAACTTTTTATTTTAGTTTTGAAGCAACTAAGTATTATTAGTATTATTAAAGAATTTTGTAATATTAATAAACTACTTAATTGAATTTCATAGCAATAAAGTTTTATAAATAAGTTAGATAAAGTTGCTAAACTACTTATTAGAGTATTATTACAATAGAGTATTGTTAAAGAATTGGATAAAGTTGATAAACTTTTTATTTGTATATTATAGCAAGTGAGTTAGTTCTGTTAAAGAATTGGATAAAGTGTATAAGATGGTTATTCTAGTCTTAAAGCAATTAAGCATTATTAAAGAATTTGGTAAATATGGTAACCTATTTATTAGGTACTGGAGCAATTGAGCTCTTTCAAAAAGTTGGATAAAGTTGGTAATTTAATTAATTTAGTTTTAAAGCAATTAAGTCTAGTTAAAGAAGTTAATAAAGTTGATAAACTATTTATTTGAGTTTCATAACAATAGAGTTTTAGTATTGTTAAGGAAAATGGCAAAGCCAGTAAGGTATTTATTTGGGTACTAAAACAATTTAGTTCTGTTAAGGAGTTTGGTAAAGGAGATAATCTGGTAATTTAAGTATCATAAAAATCAAGTTTTGTTAAGCTAATAATTTAGTTTTAGAGTAACTATCACTGTTAATGAGTTAGGTAGAAGAGTTATTTGAGTACTAAAATAACTTTATTCTATTAAGAAGTTTGTTAAACTATTTATTTTAGTTTCAGAGCAATAGAGTTTAGTTAAAAGTTAGGTAGAGTTGGTAAGATAGCTACAGTATTTGAATATTAGAGCAACTGAATTCCATTAGAGATTCAGATAAAGTTGGTATAATACTTAATTGTGTATTATAGCAATCAAATTCTATTAAGAATACTGGTAAAGTTGGTAAGCAATTTAATTTAGTCTTAGAGCAACTGAGAACCATTAAGGGGTCGGGTAAAGTTGGTAGGATAGATATTTGAGTATCAAAGCAATAAAATTCTATTAAGGATTTGGGCAAAGTTGATAAGCTGACCTTTTTGGTATTATAATACCAAAGTATTGTTATAGTGTTTGGTAGTGTTGGTAGGATAGTTATTGTAGTATTAAAGCAATATAATTCCATTAAGGTGTTTGATAAATTTGGTAGGATTGTTATTTTTGTGTTATAACACCAAAGTATTGTTAAGAATGTAGGTAGATTTGGTAAGTTATTTATTTGTATAATGTGGTATCTTAGTTCCATTAAGAAGTTTGGTAAACTGCTTTTATGGACATTATTACAAATGAGATTTTTTAATTTTCTATATCTTTGTAATCCGTACAAGGCATTTAAAATGTAATCTATGTTTAGTTCCGTAATCGTTAAACTATCAATAGTGTCATCGTAAATGTTGGATGTTTCATTATTCAATTCTAATTCTTCGGTATTCTTCTGATTAAAATTTTGTCTCCATGTAATGAATTATTAATAGAATGAGGTGGTAATTCTGACAATTGAATGTTTGGTTCATTGTCAGATGTTTCATCATTTGATTCTGTATTCATCAAATTAAAATTTTGCATTATTCGTGATAAATCTACATGAGATTAATTTCTACTGCTTGTAAAAGGTGGTTAATTGAAGGTTTGGTTCATTGTCAGATGGTTCATTATTCGATTCTGATTCTTCAAGATTTATCTGATCTAAATTTTGAATAATACGAGATAGTTCTCCATGAAATAAATTATTAATGCTTGAAAAAGTTGGTTGTTGTTCTGAAATTGAAGGTTCGATTCATTATCAGAAGTTTCATTATTCGATTATAATCCTTCTGCATTCATATGATTAAAATTTGCATTATTCGAGATAACTCTCCATGTAATTTATTAATGCTAGAAGAGGGTTGTTGTTCTGACAATTGAAGGTTTGATTCGTCATCATGAATTTGATCATTCTCTATTACATTTGATTTTGTTATAATTGCATTTAATTTATCGACTATTTCGTTCATATCCCAACATTCTAAATTATAAAAAATTTATAATCAAAAATCTACTTAAAAACATATTTATATTATAAATTACAATGAAATCATAATAAATAAATTTACCAGTATAAATGGTTACATAATCTTCCGGTGTACCAGGAATGATAATTTCTCTAAGACCTTGTGATATACAATTGCTAAATCAATGTCATATTGCTCACCTTCAACATAAAAAGGAGGTCTACCACTCGACATCTCCCATAACAACACACCAACGCTATAAACGTCACTCTTCTCATTTAGCAATCTATCACTTCTTTGTCGTCTACCAAACCTTTTAAGATACATATAAGGAATTACACCAAAAACTTTTGATTGTTGTTTTGTTGCCTCCTCAATTCTTTTCGATATCATCCCTTTACGAATTAATATATTGCCGGAATGCTATTAGATATAAAAATTTCTTTATTAATAATTAGCAGTGATAATAAGCAAAATAAATATAGGTTACCAAATCACGATGTACAATTCCTTTATCATGTAGACACGACATAGCACTAGCCAACTGAAACGCAAAGTTTGTATTTATCATCCCATTTAAGCTTATCAAAATTATCTTTCAACCATTTTCTAAGTGCACCGCCATCGGCATATTCCATTACTAACAAATATTTTTTCAACTATCATCTTGATTTTTTAATTTATTAATATTTTATTTTTTATTAAAAAAAGATAAAAGAATTAAAATAAAAGATAGAATAATCATATCGATAAATATATTTAATAAAATTTATTTTGAAATTTTTATACCTTGTTTTGACGATATCCCATAAAGCGAATAATATTATCATGGAAATCAACTTCACGTTGAAGTTTGAGCTAAAATTTTACAAGTAAAAGCTTTATAAATGATCTAATACTAAACAGATAAACGGAATGAAATATACCGAATCACAAATAATATTTTGTAATTACCTCACAAACTATTTCTTTAATGTGGCGTTGTTAAGATTATGAAAGGATTTAACGCGAGAGATTGGTTTTTTTTCCAAATTGCACGAAAAACTTTTCTAAAGCTTATATCGAAAGAAGAATATTACGACATTACAATTGAGGATCCTAATGTGAAAATATTTCATGCACACATGATATTTTTGTGCTACCGTTCTCCTTTTTATTGCCTTTCAATAGAATGAATAATGTCTGAACCCTGGCCATGTTAAATTACCAAATATCTGCCCAAAACCTTTCAGAATATTTTTTGAGTGAGCTTATGTTTTTTTAATCATCATTTATTCTCTTTTTTTTCTTGCTATTTTACAATAACATAAACACGTTTGAAACTAATAACGAAAAGGTACATCTATGGTGGATCATTTCATTTAATGAAGGATTTTCAGATATTTTAAACGTATTGGCAGCAGCTGCTGACGAGCTGCTTCTTCAAAATTATATAATAAGAAATTCTTGGAGGATAGAATCCATTAGTATGGAAATCCAATGGTGAATATGGTCATACCGAATATAGTTTTATATTTCTTTTAAGAATAGGTTTAATGTTAAAAAGCCATGTAAATATGCATTATTATATAATACAAATTATGGTCCCGCTTTTGGTAATAATTATCTTTCATTATCAATAAGAACGTTTAAATCCAATATTTATATTGTTAATAGCTATTAATTTCATTTTCTTTCAGGGATGGGATCTACTTTAATTAAATAAATTGAATAATCGGTAAATGCTTTTATTATATTACAGTGTTTTCTTTTTTGGTTTTTTTTTCATTATTAAATATATTTATTATTGTATAAATAAGGTCCTTATCCATAGTTAAGACACTTTTGATGGTACAAATAAATTTAAATTAAATTATTTTTTTCCTTTTGAAGAAATAGATGCCAATTTTTTCTAATTCTTCGTCTAGATGAAATTTTTTCATCCTTCCTTTTTTATTTTTTCTTTCAATCTTGGGATCGATTGTTCAGGCGCTGTATTAATCAATAAAAAAAAATTATTCTCAATTGAATTAAGAACTATTTACAAAAAAATTTAAGGAAATAAGCAGCGATTTGCACAGCATATTGTATAATTAATCTATGAAGTTGGTAGGAATTGAACTTGAAATGTGGCTATTTAAATTAATACATAAGAAAATTTCTATAAAAATTTTAAGAATAATAAATATACTACTCACAATTTTTTTTATATGGAATTATTTGAAGAGATCATTGGCAAAGTTAAATATTAAACTTAGAATAGTGGTAATTACGCTATATAATATAACTATTATGATTAATTTCAACAACACTTCCAGGTAAAATATGTTCTTCATTAATGTATTTAGGAGAATGTTCTTTCCTGTTTCTATTCCATCTATAAAATAAAAACCCACATGCCATAATTATAACGGTGCCCAAAATTCCTCCAATTAATGCGATTATAATTTTCATTGTAACAAATTCACTACTAGAATTATTTGTTACTACAACTATAGGAGTAATTGGAGATGATTGTGCTTTTGAATTTGTTGTTAATTTGCACTTGTTACTTCAAATGAGTTGACCTTCGTATAATTTCTAATATCCATTATATAAAAGTTAGGATTAACTAATGATAATGGAGAGGTATTTTGTTGTGTATTTCCTATCGAAATACATTTTAAAGTAAAAAAAACATTTAAATAAATTAAAATGTCTTGAAGTATATTAATGGAGGAATGTAAATGATTTACTTTACCAAAGCTACTATCATATAATTTCCAATCAGATCAGCTGTTGCTGTGTGAACAGTAAGTGATGAATCTGACCAGCATTCGAATTAACTTGCGGCGCAATCATCTTGAATTGTTCTGTTTCCATATTTAAAACTATCAAATATGGTATATCTGAATCAACATCACCCCATCCAGCACCACCATAAATAATGATTTTATCATCTGACTCTATATTTAATAATGAAAATAAATAGATGAAAATATTAAATAATCATAATCATAATTACAGTATATACCTAAGACGGCCGAATACTATAACCATTTTGAATATATACTTTCACTGACCATGTTAAGGTCTTTATATCAAAAAGATTAATAGTTTTGATATCAGACACTTGTAACCTGTCAATGAGCACTTCTATACCACCAATATATACAATAACTCCATTAGATAATATTGTTGAGGAATTGAGGAATAACCATTTCGTGCATTAGGTTGATTGACTGTATTAATGACCCATGATAAATCGACAGTATTTAGGATGACCATATCATTGAAAGTTATTTGTGTCAGAGAACCCAAAGCTTTATCTATAAATCCACCAACAATATAAATTTTCCCGGTATTTTCGATAACAATATGTATACTTCTGCGCCTTTCAGGTGGAGTTCCTTTGATATTAGGTTCATTCCATGACAAGGAATTTAAATTAAATGAATGAACATTTGATCAAATCGCCTTCATTTAAATTATTGCGCATAAATCCACCAAATAAATAAATATTTTGATCCTTCTCATTCAATAAGGTAATTCCCAGCAACTTTTGAATGGTATTCCTGAATTTTAAGTAAGGGAAATCCATGGTGGAGCGGCTAAATTAAATGATTGAGATAAATCAAGATAAAACACTTGGTTTGTAGATGATTTAGCATTATCAACATATCCGCCAAAAAACTACAGTTTGTTTCCAACAATCACTGTAGAATGAGCCATGCGTCCTTCAGGAGTAAATGAAGCAATTTATATTTTTTATGTCATGATTTCAATTTAATGAATTAATTTTAATCAAAAAAAAAAATTTTTTTTTTTTTTTAATCATTAATTTTATAGTATTTGTCAAAAAAAAAAAAGTTTAAAAATTATAATCCTTTAATATTACGCTGCGTTAGGTTTATACGATCTTTTTTTTTTTCAAAATGATAAAATTTGTGTGACAATATTAAATTAGGGGGAGAAAACCAAATGATTATGCTGATCAGTAGACTCCGAGTACTAGATTTTGTTTATTTTTCGTAAAACAATACAATATGTATATGCAAAATAGTAAAAATGTTCAAATAAATTTTTAGTGAAAAATAAATATACTGTAAATATTTTCATTGATTAGATATACCATTTTTCTATATCCAAACCTTGTCAAAAATTTTTAAGAGGGCGATCAAAATTATCCTGCCACTTTTTAAAACGAAAAAAAATTATTTATTAAGAATTTATGAGCTTTTTCATTTTTATTAATATTTCTACTAGAATATAAGTTAATAGATTTCATTAATATTTTTTATAATATATATTACATTTCATAATATTTCTTTATAATTATAATGTAATAAATGTAATATGCAATACAATTATCAACTTTCAAGTTGAATCCCATTTATATTTTTTTTATGATTTAAAAAATTGCGGCGCTTCAATATACCATAAAATGTAAATGTAAAATATACGAAATATATTATAATTTCGAAGTGGGTATTTAATTTCAAATGGTATATGTTTACAACTAATTTACGAAATTTCTCGGTCCCTCCTCCTCGTCAAAATCCATTTTTATAAATTCGACAACATTCCTAATGGGAACAGTTAAATTCAGCGAAAACGCAATGCCTGTTTACAAATATATTTTATATCTACTATATATCTACAAAAGAAACCTTCTAAACTTTGCGACTTGCGCATGTACTCTTCCTTCATAAAAGAATCAAGAAAAAGACTTTAAAAAATGCTTACTGCCGAAACTCAAAAAAATTAAAATTGTATAAAGTCTTTCTTTTCATTTTATGATAGATACAAGTTCGCCACTTCGCACTCAGGGGGGTGCATAATGTTCTGTGATTTAACGCCTGAAAATTCATGGCCCTGTGGTAAAATAACAAATATATCTTAGACTTCGTGTTTGTAAAAATGGTGATCGACTATTACGTTAAATATGTGAAAAGATTCACGATAACAAATTGTTTTTTTTAAAAAAATCCAATATAATTTTTTAGTTGTTTGGCTCCAGTTAAATTTCTTATTATGTTGGTTCCAGTAAGAAGTTATCTTTTTGAAATACAAACAAAGCTATGAGCTTAGGAAATTTTTTGACATGAAAAGTCGAGAACGATGTCTCCTTTACATCCACGACATCCTAACGAGGACTTCTGCATATGAGGTAAGTTTATTGAGTTTATACTTTCTTATGCGAAGTTTCAGCGTAAAAAGGCAAATCACGCGTATTAACGAGGTTATATTTATATTCCGAAAACTTCCATATCCAAACCTTCTTTAAAGAGTAGCTGCATATCTTAAACATTTAGTTCCTTCAAACATTATCCTAAAAGAAAATCAGCAAATTTTAAGTTTTATTGAGGTTTGTACTTTCTTCTACGAAGCTTCGGCGTAAAAAGGTTAGTCCCGCGTATTAACTAGGTTTTGTTTACATTCCGAAAACTCCCAGATTCCAACCCTACTCTAAAGAGTATCAGCATATCTGAACCTCACAGTTCCTTCAAACATTATCCTAAAGAAAATCTGCAAGATTTTGTAAGTTTTATTGAGTTTTGTACTTTCTTCTGCGAAGCTTCAGCGTAAAACATATTAACGAGATTTTGTTTACATTCCAAAAAACTCACAGATCAAAGCATTTCCTAAAGAAAAAACGGCATATCCGATCCGAAAATTACAAACCTTATTCTAAAGTAGAACTTTTGAGATTTGTAAATCCCGCGTATTAATGTACATTCCAAAAATGGTTATTCTTCATCGGGATGAGCTTCTATTTCGAAGGAAAGAATTAATGATGGTAAGTTCGTACCCATGCTTATACTAGTTCGTATCATCTTACATTTATTGCTTCGATCAAACCCAATGTGTAATAAGTACTCTTTAGAGTTTACGAACCTATAAAGAATACATGTGTCACTGAATACTTAGAGAGTTTTGGCTTTCTCTAATCAATTAAAAAAATTTTTTTATTTTATAAGAACTTAGCTCCCAGGATTCTCCTAAAGAAAATCTGCATGTACAAATCTCACAGTTCAGATTCCAATCCTTGTCCTAAAGAAATCTGCAAGTTTTGTAAGATTATTGAATTTGTAATTAACGATGTTCTGATTACATTCTGAAATATGATTATTCTTCATCGGGATGAGTGTCTATTTTGAAGGAATGAACTAATTATGGTAAGTTCGTACCCATGCTTATACTAGTTCGTACCATGCTTACATTTATTGCGTCAATCATACCCAGTACTGAATCTGAAACTAAAGCTGTTCCTACAACATTTATTTGATGAACGGGTAAATCTTCTGGTTTAATGTTTTAGATTGTAGCTGAAGTTAAAATTAACTGCGTTTAAAAAATAATTTTATTGATTATTTATTTAATTATAATTAACTAAATAAAAATAATATTTAAAGCAAATAGAATTACTTACATCAATTTGATTATCGGAAGATCCAATAGCAAACTTTGAGTTTGCAATAGATAAAACTTGTCCTTCCTTTAATCTTGGAATATAGCAAGGTCTTTCTTCATCAAAAGGATCAAAAGGGTAAAATATTGTAATATTAAAGGTCTGAGTAGCATCTGAATTTTCTTCAAATCTTGTGTGTCCAATAGCCATTCCAATAAAAAATTCACCCGATGTATTTTCTCTATACTCAGAAATGTAAAGAACTGTTGAAAGTTGTGCAGGCATTTTAAAATTATTATTAAAAAATGAAATTATTTCTTGCGAATAAAAATGACTTTTACATCTGACTAATTTTTGCTTATTTATAATAAAATTTATTTTAATATGTCAAATAAATTATAATTTAATCAATTGTTTATTTATAAGTTTATAATCACAATATAAATTTATAATTTTGATTATATATAAAAAAACAATCTGAATTTTAGACAAAAACGCCTTCTGTATAATAAATTATTATTATTCAATTGATTAATTTTATTATAATTTAAAAATATTTTTTTTTACACAAATGAATCAAATTACCAATGATATTTCTGTATGTAATTTAAAAAATTTTAAAAATTTCACTGCGTATTTTACAAAAATTAATTTTGTGATACTTAAATATTCAACCAATCAAAAAAGTAAGCCTTCTCTTTTAATCAAGCGAAGTATCAAGTCAAGCTTATTTGTAAGTTTTTTTGCTTTCTTCAAATGTGATTTTAATTTTGCTTTTGATGTTGTTTTAATTTTAGCTTTTGGAACAATTTTCTTTGAAAATATAAGTAATAGTAATTTTTAATAGTAAATATAAAAAATAAAAAATCCAAAATCATGATGATCATCATGAAGAAATCATTTTGGTTTTTTTTTTTAGATCTACAAAATTAAAATTCTTGAAACGAGCTACTTTGTGATCGTTAAATTTAACATGACTCGAAAGTGTCACAGGAGAGTTTCTTTCATGATTCTATTCTAATGATTTCAAAAAAACTATAAGCTTATTGCAATTGCGGAAATATATGAATACAATATACTAGTATATCATATATATACCTCGTATATATATGCATATATATTAATTTCTAGTATATTATAATAAATTGTTCGTATCACAAATTCCCTAATTCGAAACATTTATTAAATAATTCATGTCGATCTGTATGACACACATCCCAATTAAGCGAAAAAGTTAGTAAATTTAGTAATGATCACCATCAATTTTTCACTCTCTACGTTAATGATAAACATACTTGTTGCAGGTTGAAGCGCAGTATAAATTCGCGAATTCTTTTGACCTCAATTTTAAGATGATTTCATTAATTTCATTTTAATATTGAATTGATTGATTTAAATTATATAAAATGGAACTCGCTGATATTTCTAAATGTTTTAATCTTTACAATTTTCTAATATCATTAAGGAATCTTTTTTGAAATGTATCGATATGAAAATTCTTAAATATTTTCCAAGTAACAATACTATTTATTGTTATTTGTATAATTCAATGTTGTTATTCTTATTTCTCTTGCAAGAAATTTTATGCATTTATTCGTAAAAATGTTTCAATAGCATATTGGCAAAAAAATGATAATAAATTGACAATATGTTGAGTTTATATATAATATATTTATCTCAAACAATTTGGATCATATAATCTAATTCTTATAATGACTCCTAATTTAAAGGACTCACTTAAAATATCATTTCTGCTACCATGGTGATGGAAATTTCCTTGCAAGTATCCTGAAAATTTACAAGTAGAATATTTATTATGTTTTATATTAGTATATCAATTTCAGCGATGTCTAACCATCCATTCCTCCTATATATACTACCTTTCCATTTTCTAATAATGTTGATGTATAAAAATATTGAGTCGGTGGAGCAACAATTAAGGTCCCACTTGAATAAGTTAAAATCTTTGTATCAGAAATAACCATATCACGCAATGGTATAAAACCATTATTACAAATATAAAGTTTTCCAGAATTGACTTATTTAAATCCTCTAAATCTAACAGATAAATATTGGGATCATCTTTAATTAAACCGTAGAAAATGAACATTTTAATGTAATTTCTGCTTGAAATGTTTCATTTATGAGGATTTCTCCAAAAATATAAATTCTTGTTCCTACAGAACTGATGATTGGACTGTACGTCCAGCAGATATGACCTCCGTCATGAAAACTCCAAACGTCAAGAAATTATATAGAGATAATTTTGTTTTAAATGATGAAGAGCTAAACGAAATCATAGTCTTATTTTTTTTTCTAAAGAACCTTTTTCAATTATAGTATTAATAATATAAATATTTTTTACTCATCTAGTTTAAATACGTTCATTTAAATTTGAACGATAAAAAAGGAAATGGAACAACATTCAATTTAAAGAATTTTATCGCTGCAAAATGCGAGAAAAATATATATTTGTATCGATAGATTGTTCATCTAGAATTCAAACAAGTTTTTTTTTTCATTAATAAATTTCTGCTTTTTATCGGAAAACTTTTTAATCCATAAATGTTTTTAATCTCAAACTTTTGATCAATTAGTTACATTATGAAATGTTCTCAATTTAAATTTTTGACATGAAGCCATATTCTAGAAAGTCAGTCTTTTCTGCACATATTGGTAATTAATGTTAAATATAAATACGTCAATAAAATTAACGTAAATTATTGTATTAAGCATCGCGGCGTATTGGCCACCCATATATAATCCACAAATCCCATACATTTATTGCAATTGAACTATAAAATAACATTCTGGTGAGTAAATAATTTTCAAATGTCTTTTTATTTTTTTTATTTTATACAATTATCATTTAACATCAATAAATTTAATGAAATGCTTTTTGGGAAGAAAAATAGTTTTTTTTTTTTTTTTATGAAAATTATCAACCTTAATATTAAAAATTAAGAAATGCTTTAGGGGGGAAGGTTCGCAAAATAAATTTTGAATGAATGTTTTTATAGGGGTAATCACACTTTGGTCGTAGAGTAATTTGCACCAGCAATAGTTTAATTAATTAAACAACTATTAGCAATGCATTTTATTGGTTGATTTCGAAACTTCATGTTTAATATCCAATCATACATTACTACCGTGCTTGAAACATTGAATTAATCTTTGATAAACCATGCCCAAAATTTATATTAGTGAAAATATGTTCAAATTCTTATAATTAAATAAATTAAATAAATTTAATTTTTTTAGTTATAGTATTTTATTTATAACTTATAAAATAATTAATAAGCTTTTTATTTATAGAAATATTTTTATATTTTCGACGTTGTATTTCTGAAATTATATTCAAAATACTAAATTTTTTGATTAAATTAACGTTATATTTAATGAATAATTAATACCTTCCAAAGTGCACTGTCTGTCAAAAGTTCATTCGACATTAAGATACTCAGTTCTAAAAATTTGGTCTTGGAAACGGGTTAGGAATTGAATTGGACGGTTGGAGTTAGTTGAATAAAATAAAATAATATCATTCTAAAAGAAAATAAAATTCATTTAAATAAGATACAATTTTATTCTAGGAATATAAAAGAATTTTTTCAATAAAATGGATGTGGGCGGATTAATAGGTAAATTATTTTTTTGAGAAATATATCATAGCACTTCATTTTTTTGGACATAAAACTATACGTTTCTCTTATAATGTATTATTCGAGTCATTCCAAATTTTCGGAAAATACTTGGCGCAAGCTTTTTTGAGTGAGCATATAATTAAACATTCGCGTGGATGAACATACATCAAACCAAGTCTTAAATCAACTTCCAAAACTAAAGTTGAACGCATCAAAAATTGCATCATTCCAATGGTCAAATAGATTTTTGCAAATCAATCATAATCCTTGGTTAAAATTTAAGCCATTATCGATATAAGAATGTTTGCAAAGAAAAATCATCCAAAACTATATGTAGATTTAATATATGAAAGGTTATAACATAATAAAGATATTCGATTAAGAAAATTTCCTACCAGTTTTGACCTTGCATTAAGAGATTTTAGCGAGGTAACACACATCAATTTCAACATGACGTAATTATTGTAATAGTAAATTTTCGAATTTGGTTCGTGAGATGATGATCTTTAATCCCACATTTCTAAGAAATTGTATAAATACATATGAATCAAGTCGTCGTTATCGTAAGGTATGATTCTACTTTAGTTGAAGGATCATTCCTATGTGGGAAAATTGAGGGAAAATTGGACTCAAAGTCCATAGAATGTTAGTATTCAACTAACAAAAATTTGTTTCTTTGGTAACAAATGAAAAGTCTCAGTATCTGTGAATAATATCAGCGCAGTACATGACATTGGGAATCAATCAGTTTCATCCGACAAAATGCCCAAGGCTAGTCGTAACTGTGTCCACTTGCCATGTGTGATGACTCAAAATACGAGAGGATAGATCATCATTGATTTTTTTTAAAATTTAAGAAAAAAAAAGGAAATTATATACCTTTTAACAAAATAAAAAATAAATTCGAGCGTTAATCAACGTAAATTTGTTCCACTTGCTATATTATAAAAAAAATCCTTCCTTTAATAAAAAGCAAATAATATGAAATAAATTTACCTTTCATAAAGTTCAAAATAACAATTTAAACAAAATTTGTTTGTTCCGACTTATATATGATTAAAACACCAAATATTATTTTCTTTTTTTTTTTATAGAACATTGATTCTTCTGTTGGTGATATAATAGGACAACCTGGATTATTAAGAATATCTCACTTTATTTTTTATTTTCAACAGGTTACGTAAAGAGAGCTTAGGATTTTCTTTCATCTTTCAAATCAATAATAGTAAAAATGTTACTTTTTGTTTAGAAAAAAATTTTGAAGAGTCAACTTAAAAAAAAACTAGACTTTTTTATATACAATAATATTTATAGACAAATTTTACACGTCATTGTGAATTATCTTGTTTATACTTTACGCGTCAGATTTGGTATTCAAATTACATAATATGTTAATCGTGCAACAATTACATGTTGAAATTGTTGTACTTGAGACTGTAATCGTTGCAACTGAATCATTTTTTCAACTTTTGTTACACGTCAAATAAACCCGGCTTTCTTGGTGGCATTTAAATCTGATGGTCTCGCTATTAAAATAAATACATTACTCATTGTATCTACAATCAAAAAAATAAAAAATAAAGTATTTTCATTTAATAAAAATAAGAAAATTTAACATACTATATATAATAATTGCTGATAAAATTTTGATTTGTAATCAGCTTCAAAATTTCACGATAAATTAAAAATTTTAGTCGAATTGTTTGTTTGTAATTTTTTTTAAAAAAAAAAAATTGATGCATTGATACGTACGTTAGAATCTTTTTCAATTTTAAAACGCTATTGTAGTCACGGGTAAATTAAGTTGAAAAGTTCTCCTAAACTATATTCTTGTCATTCACGTTCAATATTTATTTCACCCATTTTACGCAAACATCTAATGACAAATAAAATTTATTAACTTGCTTTTACTATCCTGTGTGCATTATTTTGGATTTATTTATGTGGTTTATTAACTTATGGATTTCTAAAAATTATATATATTACTGACATAAATAAAAATTTTTATTTTATAGATAAGGATTTTATATTGAAACGATCAATAGAATTAATTAAATTTTGTTATAATTCTCTTTATACATAAATAAGTAAATATTATTTTTTTGGACATAAATGATTTTATTATGTTAGATTCCTCGTTTATGTCAGAAATATTGATCTAAATTTTCAAAGTTCTTTCAATTTACATAATTCTGGCCATCTTCAGGACGGTATTCTTTAAATGGTGACGTTCGTTACGTTATTGTACATCCATTACCGTATGAACGTTGCGATTAATATTGTACTGGTATCGTAGTAGTATTAATACATAAACTAAAGTTGCAGGTAAGGTACGCAACTGCACATATAAAACATCATACCGGTATTGCAAATAGTTATCAGACTTTAAATTATATCAGACAATTTGACCTATAAACATGATATCCAATATTCATTCACATTCATTTGAAGAATTTTAATAATAGTCTTAAGTAAAAATTAGTAATATCGATTATATTTGTACTTGGCATTCATATATAGTAAATCAAAAGTAAAAAAAATATACTTCTTTATTTGAAATGAATTCATTTTATTCTATTTTTTTTTGTTGGAACCGGTTTAATGTAAATCGATTTAAATTCGGTTTAAACAGGTTGCAACATAAAACCGGGTCTATTATTTTTTCAGATTCGAAAACCGGTTTTAATAAAATCGGTTTATTGCGAAAGTTCAAATTTAATGAAACCGATTGAACCGGTTTAAAATCAAACCCTATAGTATGATATTTATGTTTTGTTAACATTTGATAATTATGCAACATTATTATATAATTTCGATAATGACGTTACGGTAAGGTTTAAATTATTTTTTTTTTTAAAAAAAAAAATTTTATATTATGAAAGAAATTAATTATTGATCCAATTTTCGCGACATTTTTTTAAAAAATTTCATGCAAATTTGTAAAATTATACTTTTTTTTGTTAGATCCTTACGAAATCATTCCATCAAATTTTATTTTCATAGTGTAACTTTAACAAATTTTTCCTTCGAAGTTTTTGTAATCTTTTTGTGAGATTTTTATGAATTGCAATAATAAAATTAATCGCAATTCGGTTTTTCGGTTTTATTACAACCGAATGCCCGGTTGAATCGGTTTTATTTTAAATTCGGTTTAAATTCGGGTCTCAAATTAAAAAAGTGGTTAAACCGGTTTGTGAAAATAAAACCGGTTCCAACCTCTAATTAAAATAAATCATAATAGTGGAAATTGGGACCATGAAAGCAACTGCCCTCGGTAATTTATAGATTTGAAAAACAGCTTATATATAACTAACAACTAAACAAAAATATCACGTACCAACTGACAATGATGACGGCTTCAAAATTTATTTTGTCCCGGGTCTTATGAAAACAGTAAATCTAAACGGATTTAAATCCGAACGTCGAATCCGGTTCCAACCTCTAATGCATTAAATGAAAAGACAGGATTTATAAATTTGTTAAATAGTATTTATAATGTGGTAAATAAAAATGGGTTTATTGGCTATTTAAATTTACCAATAATTTTTTTATTAAAATTTTTGAATAGAATTTTTGGGTTTTAGAAAGGTGTATCGCGGTCAGTGCTCGGGTTCGGATAATAACCCGATTTCTTCTGGTGTTCATTGATGGAAATTTAGCAAGAGAACGACTTTGGAACGAGTTATATGATATAGTTATAGATTCAATTTCATCAATACTATGAATATAAATTTATAGATTTAGCAGAAAATTTTGATTGTTTCATGATAAATGAACTTGTTATTAAATTTGCCTGTACGCAAAAGTTACAATGTTATTTTAAAACAGTTGGCAATTGATCAAAAAATTCTTAAATTTTATGATATTGCACAAAAATAAATTTCAATTCAAAGTTTTTAACAAGTTAAAATTAATCAGATCATTCATTTTGAAGCATAATCTTTTGAAATCCTTTTTTTGAATAAAACCGTATTTGCTTCACAAGTCCCAAAGTAACTTTCTAATTTATTTTAAAAATGCGAAACAAGAGTATAATGATAATCTACATAGATCTATCCTTTAGAAATACATTTCAAAAAAAAAAAAACGTTTTCCGAAAATAATTTTAGCAATCTTTTGAGTGCGTCTTCGGCATCTTATTTTAATATCCAGAAGACTTATAGTGAGATCTCTTGTACTCGTCAGGTTCGGCATCTCTCTTATCGTCCCAATCCAGAGGTTCGGCATCTCTCTTATCGTCCCAATCTCTCTTGTCCCAATCCTGAGGTTCGGCATCTCTCTTATCGTCCCAATCTCTCTTGTCCCAATCCTGAGGTTCGGCATCTCTCTTATCGTCCCAATCTCTCTTGTCCCAATCCTGAGGTTCGGCATCTCTCTTGTACACGCCTGGTTCGGCATCTCTCTTGTATTCCTGAGGTTCGGCATCTCGTCTTATTACTCCTATGTTTCATAAATTAATTGACTAATTTTACAAATGAAAAAAAATTTAAGGTCAAAAAATTCAGTTTTTCCTACCAGCACAAACCAAAGAAATAAGAAGAGGAAAGGTTAATAAAGCTGATGTGAATTTCATGTTTATATACTGTATAACGATAATATATCTTTTCCCTTTCTAAAAGAAATAGCTTTTAAGTGAAGTGAAGAACTAGGAAGGGGAATTCCAAGTCTTATATATATTGTTTTTGTAAAGGCTTAAATTCTTGATTTTTTGATTTATGTAAGAAATTTATAAAATGAGGCTTATTGTTACGGAATGTTGTTTGGTAACTTATGGTCTAACGAATGTCAAAAAGTGATTCATTATTATTACTCATTGAGTTAACGCATTGAAACTATTTCTTTCACAGCCCTTGATTTTTTTTAAAGTTAAGGAATCAATTTTTACTAAATTCAGGTAAATTTATATATGGCGTAAATCAAAAAAGGGGCTTCCAGAAAAACGTTCTATCTGATGAAATGATCGTTCAAGCCATGAAAATCATTTTTAAGTCATTCGAATTACCTTAGATGAGATTTTGATTTTTTTTTAAGCCACTATTGACGCAAAATTCCTTATATTTAATAGCCACAATCTTAAAGCCTCAAATCAAAATATTAATTATGTTATTCTATTAAATTATATTTTTTTTATCACCACACTTAGTTAATTAAAAAGCAAAGATTAATAAAAATGAGAGTCACTGCGATCCAACCTGAAAATAAAAAAAGAATTAAAAATAAAAAAAAATTATCTACTCAAAGAACTACTTAAACAAACTTTTGAAAAAAAAGTGAATAACACACATCACTTGGGCCCGAATCGAAAACTCAAAAGGAAATAAAAAAATTTAAAAAAAAAAGAAATAACCAAATGATTCAATTTAAAAAAGAAATTGTACAATAAAACAAAAATATTGTATTACTGCGGCAATGAAGTGAATAACCAATAAAGAAAAAGATGAAAAAGTGCTTCTTTATTTTATCTATCGATGCAACAATCCAATGATACTAAAAAGTCAGATATTGATATTTTTTATCTTAACAACCCAACCATTTCATTACCCCATCTTAAATATCCAGAGAACAAAGTTTTATAAAGAAATTTTATTATAGTTAATACATAAATTTGGCGGCGGCGGCTTGGTTAACTTTAAAGATTTTATTAGAAAAGAAAATGTTGACATACATAAAATTTTTCTTTTTAGACATAATCATCAACAATACAATATTAAATAATAAATTTATTATTAACTAGGGAGCAGTTTCGGAAACCGGAGCACAGGTGTAACGTAAATAACTAATAAGAATCGTCTCAAGCTGCAAGCGCGGGAAATTTCTGTGCCATCGTGTGTATTATATGAATTAAATATAAATTTATTTATATTCTTAAATTATACCATTATAATATCCGAATTAATTATATATTGGCAATTACGGATAATATTTCTCAATTAAAATAAACTGAATTGTTATAACAGATTTAGAAAGAATCATTTTTTTTAGCTCGATAACTCTTTCTACAAAAAAGTATATAAGTCATTCAAAGGAAAATAAAATTTTAATAAAATTTAATGCATTATTAAATAATGACTACTCCTTAACCAATTCATTTTTCACATTTTTATTGCTCATACATAAAACATGTATTCTTACCGTTGCTGGGCGACCTAAAAAATTTGATGAAAGTGATTCAAGTACATAATAGGAAAAATATACTAAATAACATCTATCGAGATCGAAGTGGTTGATAGTCCAATCATCAAATAAAATTAAACCCAGTAAAGGAAAGTGAGCTTTTTATAAAGTTGCAATTTGTTTAACACAATAAATTTTATAAGTAGTTTTTTTTTTATTATACAAAATTGCTGATTTAAGCAGCTTTATAATTGTAATCAGCAACTATAAATACTACTTGGAGTTTAAAATGAAATTATTTCGATAAAAACGCATTCAATTTGTCAAAAGATAAAATTTACAAATCATTCTCAAAATTCATACAAATAATTAATATTAATATCAATATACGTTCAAAAAAAATTAGATGCCAAACACAAGTTCTTCAGAAACGTAATCTATTATTATATATTATAAATAAAAGCGTATATTTGTTAATAATTTATATAAAAATAATAAAACAAATGAAAAAGTTAATTACCATTGGATTTAACTTTATTTGTAATCGGACCATCATCATCTTTACCTTTAAATATATAATTATTAGAATAATTTTTTTTTAAAAAAAAAAGTATCAAAGCAAATTTACCAAGATGATTTTCAAACTTCTTGTAGACTCATTCGGCTTATAGTTGAGCTTAAAGATCTACTTTAATAGATGACACCGGGTTTATTTTCTATAGGCCCAATATTTATAAGTTATTGTTCTTTGCAACGATTAATATCAAAATTATTTATCAACGCAAAGCACAATAACGATGATATCATCGTGTGATTTTATGATTTTGACTTAAACATCTAATAATATTTGAAGCAGGTATGTTAATATTTCACTTATTTTAGAATTTTAAAGCATTAATTCAATTATATTAAGATAAATAGCATCAACTATTTCTTGGCCAATATATCAACTCCAAATCCTTTATTACATTTTATCTAAATATTTACAACCTTGCTAGATGGATTAAGCATTAATTAATGAATTACAAATTATATGTTTCTTTATTATATTTAGCAAAATTATTTTTTTAAAAAAAAAATAGATAAGTACAATGATTTGAAACTAAAACATTAAGTTTTAATGATATATATAAAGATCCATTTTGTCATCCATTTCAGGAATTAAATAATACTCAAGATAAATAAATCAGTAATATATGCTTATTTTTATTTAATAATACTAATAATTTAATAATTTACAAATGTATAAAGTTAATATGTATATTTTATTTACTAGCTTAAAATATATTAATAATATATTAATGTAGCTTATTCCGATGTAAAAAATTAATTTATAGTTTATTTTTGATATCAATAAAAATATCAAAAAACAAGATCGTCTACATCATACTGGTGAGCATGATAATTATAGATATAGTGTGACTTCTATTATTAGCTTTTGTATGTTCTGAATCTTCAATACTCTCAATTCTTAAATCGAGATGAGCAGCCGGTTGAGAAAGCTAACAATGCATTACATCAGGTAAATTTTTATAGCGAAGTACTTTGAAAAATTTACGATTTGTAAATATTTTGAAATTCTTCGCCATAATCCTCCGTAATAACTACGTTTTCATCGAAGTACTTCGTATGTATTACTGATCGTAATCCT